AACGTTGTGCTTCTTCTCTTTTAAGCATGGAACAAACCTTTACTTGCTCCTAGTTAAGAAACTAGTCAGGTTTGCACATGATTTCAAATTAAAATCACCAAGCACTGTAGAAAAAAAAAATATAAAAAGGACTTAGATAAAATTCAAGATTGGCAAAACACTTGATATTACTTAATATAGATACAGTAAGTGCAGGGTTTTGCATGCAGGTAGTAAAATATAAATGAATAGTGCAACCCTGAGCAGGAGGTTACTTATGAAAAGGGCTGTATACTGTATTTATATTGACATATTATTTCTATTTTCTAGATAAAGTAACAAAATGCTAGGATATAGGATGTGAAGAAAGCTCCACTCCTGAAACATTTTTTTTTTCTTCTCTTTTGAGCATGGTATCAACCTTCACATGTTCCTTTGCAGCCAACACATGCTGATGCGGCTACCTACTTGAAATAATTTCTTAACCATACCAGGATCCAGATTTATATTATTGATATAAATTGAGAAGAGCAGGGTTCCTAGTACAGATCATGGTGGTACTCTAATAATTAAAGAAACCAGGTTTTAGTACTCACTTCTTATCTGTATCATCTTCTTTCTATTTAATAACCAAATCTCATGCCAAACACATACATTTCCCCTTAATGTCTACCACCTGCAATTTGCGAATTAATCATTTATGAAGAACTTTATTAAAAGACAGCTGAAGATCTATATACACCATATAATATGTACTGTGTTTATCCATTACTGTTTGTTTCTTGTTCTGGTCAGGCAATACTTACCTTTTCTAAATCCATGTTGACTATTTCCTAGGATCATATTTCCATAGTTTAGTACTAATAATTGTTTCTTTAACTTTACATGTAAAAGACGTCCTATGTATTGATATATTTAGATATACACTGTAATTAGTTGATTAAGTTGATGCAGTCCCTGGGCACTGTCCCCATATTAAACAGCTGTTGAAAGAGGTGTATCAATGACTTCTGAATAATATCTCCAGATTTCTTGTATACAGATGGTAAGATCCCATACTCAAAATACGTCTGTGTTTGCAAATACTTCAGTATTTACTGTAATACAGGACTTTACCCATGAGCCATGTTGTTGTCACTGGTGAGCATGTGAGTAAAATACCTGTTTAATACATCAGCCATTTCCCTTTCATTGTCTAGAGGTTTTGCATTTCTGTCTTAGGTATATTTTACTTTATCCTTGCCAGTTGTTTTGCTGTTGTAGAACTGAAATTACTTTTTATTATTTACTTTAGCCTCCATTGGAATATTCTTTTCCATTTCCCTCTTGGCCCTTCTAATATCCCTTTTCCCTGGACATGAAATTCATTTTACACTTTTTCTTTTACTCAATCCTTTTTTAAAATAATTTTATTAAAGGTTTTCCTTCCCTGTTTTCCCTAATTAATATGTTGAACCAATTGGGTTACTAGCTTTGTATACATTAATTGTTTGGGATAAATAAATTCTGTTAGGAATTACTTAAATATGTGAGAAAGGGTGACTTTACTTTTATTTTTAATCCAGGCCTTCACTACCTTGCACTGATTACTTCCCATGTGCTTGTAAATGATTATAATGTTTTGCAAATAACTTTGTATGTATGTGGGTCTTGATGACAGAAAATGGTGTAAAAGATATTCATTTTTGCATATAGAAACAAATGATACACCATATATATTTTTGCTTTCAAAGCAGATTAAAATTAAATGGCATTGTGTATGATGATGTGGGGTTCAGAATTAATAACAGCCTGGTAGTGGACCCTGTTAGTGTTAGTGGGTTAGCTAGTTAGTTCAATTTAGTACAATTCCTATTGTCAATGAAAAACATCTCTCAGTGTCTGCAGCAGTTGCTTTAACTTTGAAATGAGGAGGCGTTCACAAAACCATATTGTTAAAAGCATTAAAAGCACCGGAATTTTGAGAAATTAAGTATTTTTGTGTACACCAAAAGCAAAGTCATAACTGTTAACAATGGATTTCTTTCTAAAAATACAATACTGCTACATGTGGCAGACAGAACTGCTACAGTCAGAATATCCATGAGATGACCACCTTTTACAGGCATTTGACGTGTTTGTTTAACTGAAGATTGACTGAGAAACAGGTAAATGATTCAGCTTGATAACTGTTTATCTGCAGAACAAATTGTTATATCTGTGTGCCCTAAAAGTCCTTATGCCGAAACACATCTTAAATGTATTCTGTTGCATTTAATTATGTTAATATGTAATACGTAAACAACATGGCTTTCTTGTACATAATGACTTTAATACATGTCAAGTATATTGTTAGTATACCATATAAGTAAATTCTCATGTTTACAATATTTACAACACCTATGTCCATACATATTTCTCAGGAATTTATTGCACTTTATAAAAGATATCATAAAAATGATGACAGTGTTGCCAGATACTTTTTTTATCATCAAAAACCTTTCCTTCTTCTCAGCCTGTGAGCTTGTTGTTTGCGGATATCATTTAGTTTTGTATCATTTGTGTTTCAGTTGAAGGTCCTTATAAATTATTATTTTTTATCTTTCCCGCTATTGGGTCCCCATTTTGGCAGGGCCAGATGAAGTGAGGAGTGAGTGGAAATGATCATGACAGAGGCAGTCATTTAGGTGGTGGATTTGCCTTGCAGTTCTGTTTACTTTAATTATTGTTTATCAAATGTCTGGTGAGCATGTACTGTATTTTGATCGGAAACAGAAAAGAAAATATTTTCAACAGGTTACAAAGACGTCATGCTGTTCAAATAATGTGGTCAGTACTGATACACAGCATACAAGAGAAGCTAATTACTATCAGTATGGGGAAACATTTTGTTTTTTTGCTTAATATTCTTTAGAATTATTGCTTTCTCATAATCGTATAGTTAATTATTACAAGATCAGGTGTGTTATAATAGCTTGTGAGTTATTTACTCCCAATCTGTTCTAATTATACTTGTGTTGAGGTCTGACTGGTTTGAACAAACATAATAATGCAATACATACAATACAATCAGTACAGTGAGGGGTGCACTAAAAGAGTTACTCACAGTCCGGACACACAAAGAACAAACTAGAACAGAACAGTACGCAGAAAAATCGTATTGCACATACAGTATGAATATAAATGTAGGGAAAACCGGTTCAGGGACGCCAAATATGTAATCATAGTGGCTCTCTGAAGGCACCAGTTCTGTAGGGTTTGGGCATTTACTGAGACAATTATTAATTGTAGCAGTAAATCACAAAGTTGATTCTTTTGATGGCTTTAGAATCCAACCATGCGATATAACTCAAACAACGCGCACACACAGGTACTAATACACGAGGATACATTTATTAATACATAGAATATGCATATAAACCTAACAGATCTTATCGAGAGGGTTATCAGAATTCAAAAGGTATATATTCAATCAGTTACAAAGTGTTACACATCAAGAGGACATACGTTCAGTATATCATTCATTAAGACCGTTTCATAAATGAACTTGGTTACAACTTCTACATTAGATACTCAAAACAAGTACATAACTCTTAGGAATTAAATTGATATCAACTGGTTGGGATAACAATTGAATTCTCGAGCTGTAATGCATTGAAGTTGAATACTCATCCAATCTTTGGGGATTCAGATCTCCTGCGGGCACAAAGAAACAGTTGCAGGCTGTTGCTGTCCAATCCGCGCTCTCTGGCTCGGTGCCAGGCTGTGCTGTGCGGCTTGCGACGGTGTGCTGCTGATGCTCACTGGCCTGCTAGTTAAGTTTGTGCACAGGAGAAAAGATGACTGTGGGTCCCAGCAAGTCAGGAAAAGGACCGGTTCGTTCCTGATGAAGAGCTAGTTCTGAATAGCGATTCAGCTGTCCATAGGTCCAACCTGTTCACGAGGCCTGCTGCTGTTTACTCTCTGGCAACCTCCACTCTAGACTCTTAGAACAAAGGAAAGTTCTGGCACTCAGACACACTGGCCGTTCCGTGGTTGTCCGGGCTGAGTCTCAGGATGGTCAGGAGGCGCGCTGCGAGAATGTCCTGCCCTTGGGAGCCTTCTGCTCCTGGGCCGTCCTGCCCTGGAATTCTCCTTTTAATTCCCTTTAGAATTGTTGAATCTGAATCTGAATCTGAATCTGAATCTCTCAGGCTCTCTGTGTTGCCTGTTTTTACCTGGAGGAACTTCAGCTCATTGATTGTCTGAAAGTTCCATGGGCATCAGAGTCCCACGTGGGTTACTCGGCCCTACCGGTCCCTGATTGGTTGATCAAGGTGAGATATGAGTCACTTACTCCTGACACTTAGTAATGCAGTCCAGATGACTTTCTGACCATTTTGGCATAGAAGACTGCAAAGTTGTACGTGAGGAAATAAATATAGTGATTGCACCGGTGTACATGTGTATACTGAATGCTTAATGTTTCAGACTCATCATTTGTATTTCTGCTTTTAAGCTTTTTAAGAGCAGGTGACAATGTAGTACAGTATATACTGTAGTTTTCATTTTTTATAAAAAGTAAAATCCTAAAAAGAAACACCATATTATTTGAGAACAGAAAACAGAAAAGCATATACTGTACTGTACAAAAAAAAGAGAAAACAGCAGGTGACATGAACCATAAATAGAGTATGTATGAGGTTTATAATAATAGATAATGTATTATGACACAGTACTTGTTTGTTCAGTTGAATATTTTTTCATTGCTACCCTTTACTAATTCCAGTAGGTCCAGGAATCTTTCAGACAATGCTGCTCTCTGGAAAACTTCAAAAGCATTAAAAAAAAAAAAATTCAAAAGCATATATTCATGCTGTCTACAATAAATTCTAAATGTATTACAAAAAGCTAAATTTGCAGTACTTTAAGAAAGAAATTTTGCAAATACATATAATCGTGATTATTTGTGAACGTGAGTAAAGATTTAGGATTGATTTCTCTGAAAACATTTATCTGTACATATGTGTTTCACCAGAGCTGTCTTGTTTTTGTTTTTGTAGGAACACAATGTGGAGCCAAAATATTTTTATCATATTCTTGATAATAAGAAGAATCTCATCGTGTCAAATCATCAATCAAATTGCTTTTTGTCAGTCACAGTCTCTAAACTGGGTTCCATATTTGCCCTCTAATGTTGTTGCAGTTGACCTGAGTTTGAACTATATAATGGAAGTGAATGACACTTCTTTCCTACACCTTGAGCTCCTGCAGAATTTGGATCTCGGAATGCAAAAAACACAGTTTCTGAGGATAAAGAAAAATGCTTTTAGGAATTTATCAAACCTAGTTTTTCTACACTTAGGAAGTAACAGAAATCTTGTTTTGGACCCAGATGCATTTGTTGGATTGTTTAATTTAAAACGGCTTAATCTAATATATAATGGGCTTTCTGCATCAATTTTAGAGGATGAGTACCTGCGACCTTTGGTGTCACTTGAAGTCATATACCTCAACAGTAATGTTATTGAGAGAGTCCAACCTAATCTCTTCTTTCGCAATTTGACAAATTTAAAGGAGGTCGTATTGAAGCTGAATAAAATCAAAACTATATGTGAAAACGATTTGCTGGGGTTTCGCGGTAAATTTTTCAGCTTATTTGACCTCTCCTCCAACCACCTTGAACACATGAACGCAATTGATTTTGACTGGAAAACATGTGGGAACCCTTTTAAAAATGTGTCTCTTGAAGTCCTTGACTTATCTTTGAATTCGCTCAACGCTGACAGAACACGGCTCTTATTCAGAGCATTAGGAGGGACAATAATTCATCATGTTATCTTAAGTCAGAATATAATGGGTAGGTCTTTTGGATATAACAAAAATAAGGATCCTAATAATGAAACTTTTGAAGGTCTTAAAAACAGTTCTGTGAGATCTCTAAAGTTGTCCAGAAATTTTATTTTTTCACTAGAACCATTCGTATTTGCTCCTTTTAAGGAGCTCAAAGAGATAACATTATCTGTCAATAAAATCAACCAGATTAAGAAAGATGCATTTTCTGGACTTCAAAACTTAAAATCGCTGAATCTCTCAAATAATCTAATAGGTGAGGTATTTTCATATACGTTTGAGGGTCTTCACAGTGTCACTGAAATTGACTTGTCAAACAACCATATTGGTGTCATTCAACACAATTCTTTCACTGGACTTTTCAGTTTACAGACTTTGAACCTTCGGGGAAATGCAATTAAAAATCTGCATGAGTTTGCACCGATTCCTAAATTGGAAAATGTTCTGCTGGGTGACAATAAAATTCAGTCTTCATATGGTCTTTCTACATTCGCCCAGAACTCTATATTTGTTGACTTATCAGAAAATCGACTAAGAGATCTAGGCGTGTTCTATGATTTGATGAATTTTCCAAATGTTCAGTTTATTTTACTTCGACATAATAAGCTTTCAGACTGTGCTAGTAATTCTGTCGTCCCGAAGGAAAACAATTTACTATACCTGGACCTGGAGGACAACATGTTGCAATTAATTTGGGAAAAAAACATTTGCTTAGATATGTTTGACAATCTAAACAAACTTAACAGACTCAGATTAAACCAAAATTTTCTACAGTTTCTCCCAGAAGCTATTTTTAAGGGGTTAATCACCTTGAATTCACTGGATCTTTCCCTCAACTTGCTTACCCATCTCCCTAATAATGTTTTCCCTGAAAGTCTGAAGGTTCTTAATTTATCTGGAAATATTCTTGGCTCACCTAACCCAGACCTCTTCAGTTCACTTAGTCTCATTGATCTTGGAAGGAACCCATATGTTTGTGATTGTAATTTAAAAGAGTATCTTCTGTGGATAAGTCAGACAAATGTCACATTCTTCAGCCATGTAGAGGATATGGTTTGTTACTTCCCAAATGAGCTCTTGGGCGTTCGTCTACTTGATCTAAATACTGAATCTTGCGTGGAGGAAGACCAAAGGCTAATTCTGAAATTAAGGCTTTCAGCTTTCATCAGCAGTGTAACAATTATCATATTAATAATGATGTCCACTATTACTTTTATTCATTTCAGAGGACTCTGCTTTGTAATTTACAAGAAGATAATCACTAGCGTGCAAGGATCTCCTAGTGTTGCGTTTAGAGACAGTTACAAATATGATGCTTATTTGTGCTTCAGCAGCAGTGACTTCAAGTGGGTGAAGACCGCTCTTCTTAAAAGACTGGATGCTCAGTTTTCAGAAAAGAATCTCTTCCGTTTTTGTCTTGAAGTTCGAGACTTTATTCCTGGAGAGGATCGCATCACTAATATACGGAATGCCATCTGGTGCAGCAAGAAAACAGTCTGCATTGTGACAAAAGAATTCCTGAAGGATGGGTGGTGCATTGAGGCCTTTAATATGGCCCAAACTAGGCTGTTCACTGAACTGCAGGATGTACTCATCATGGTTGTTGTTGGAGGGCTTCCCCAGTTCAAGTTAATGAAATGTGACCCAATCAGAACCTTCATCAAAAGCAGGCATTGTTTGCACTGGCCAGAAGATTTTCAAGACATCGATTGGTTTTATGAGAAGCTTGCACAGAACATTTTGAAAGAAGAGAAGAGTAAAAAGCAGACTGATGTTCTACTTCAGAATATCGGAGTGCAAAGCTAGAAGTCAGTCATAACTGAAATGTTAAAGATCACATTTTGACAGTACAGTATTTGTGTTGGAGTATTAACTGCTGTTTTACAGGAATAGTGATATATTATGGAGCGTGACAACTGTATGTTAAGATTAGACTCATTTAAGATGATTTTATAATTATTTTTTACACCATGAATATTGTACCATTACTTTCAATGTATTGTTTGGCAGCAAAAATGGTCTTTTACAGTTTTCTCTATTACTGCCTAGAAATGGAGGCTTGTTTTGTATTTCATCTCTAATCTTACAGGGTGTGGGATGGACTGGAAGATAAATACAGTTCTCCTCCTGGGGGAAGTTCTTCAGACCATTCTTGGATTTAAGTTCTTCTGTTTTTAATTTGTTTCTTCTAAATGTTTTGATGATTACATTGTTTTATTTATGAAGAGTGCATTTTTTGTAGAATTTAGATTCTGTAAAGATACTAAACCACAGAAAGTATTTTCTATTAATATGGTCAATGACTTTTTACATTACCCTTTTAAGTGCTTAATATCTAATGATAATGTTTCTTTATTAGCTATACAATTTCTTATTGTATACAATTTCTACCTATACCTATACAATTTCTTGCATTTGCAATTTGTTTTTTCGCATACCCCAGCTTTTCTCCATGAGACACAGACAGGGAGAGAAGCTTGGGGTCAGAGCGCAGGGTCAGCCATTGTATGGCGCCCCTGGAGCAGTTGGGGTTAAGGGCTTTGCTCAGGGGCCCAACAGAGTAGGATTCCTCTGCCAGCCGCGGGATTTGAACTGGCAACCTTCCAGTCACAGATCCTTAGCCACAGAGCCACTGCTCTGCCCCAATCTACACACCATATCTGTGGTGTATGGGTCTTAATTATAGCAATTAATGAACAGCAAAGAACTCCTTAAGAATGAGTACAGATGGACTAAAACAATTGCAAAAAGGTTAGTGTATCTTTCTTTTAACGATTGCAGATGGTATCATAGAAAACCTTCTCATTTTTAATTAATTTTTAATAATTTAAGTTCTAAGCTCCAATATGATGAAGACATAATTCCTTGGAGTTTGTTCAGCCAGAGTCCTGTGAGCTAATCAGTTCCATTAGTTTGGCAAATCCAGTGGAAACCTCTCTTTTCCTGCTTAATAAACTGTATAACAGTTGCTCACCACAGTGATTGTCAATGAAGCCCCTATATCCCAGCTTAATAGAAAGGTTCCAAGCTTTCCAGACCTCCTGACCACACTCTTCTAGTAGTGACTGATAGTGTTAATTCTCTCATGAGTGTCCTCCCATGGCATCTCCACCAACATTATTTGTTTGGGTCAGCTGAAGTACAGTGCAAAGTATGGCTTAAAGTAGTCATTATAGTTACAATGGGGAGCCTCCTTCTGCGACCCACATTCCATATTGTCTTGAGCCTACAGTTCTGTCCTGCCTTCACATAATGAATGTAGGCCCTATTTTCCTTTACTGTTTCTTTATTGTTTCGTTCTCCTGGGTGCCCTTTTTTACATTAAATTATGGGCATAATGCCACAGAAAATGTCCATTCACAGTGCCATCTTGCAGGTTGTGTTCATAGACATCCACATGCTCTACAGCTGCATTCCAGAAAAAATCGCCTTTTTTGTAAATGATTTGCTGTCACGAAAAAAGTGATTTTCCGACTATCCCTTTCTCAGTTTTGATTTGACATGAGAACCCTTTCTTTTGCCCATTCCAGCACATCGTCCATAATTTTTAATAGTTTTATACGATGTGATCAGCTGGTTTTCTTCCTCTGCTTGACATACTTCCCTCTCTATTTTGGTCTCTGCATTTTCAGATGCTTCCCCTGCTGCTGCTTTCAGTTTGTGATCAGAACTGTCTCCGGGGCTCCCGAGTGGCTCAATTAGTAAAGTCATTTGACTCTGTGATCAGAGATTTCAGCCTGAGGCAGGTGACTTGACAACTGTGACCACAGCCCGCCAAGTGGAGCCATACAATTTGTTGAGCACTACATTAGGTAGAGTAGGATTAGTTGGCCTCCTGGGTGCTTGCAGGCATATGGTACTATCAGTGAATCCAATTGGCAATAAACATCTGCAATGGAGCAGTGCTTCCTGTGACATTTTAAAAAATGGAGGGTTTGAAGGTGGACTAGTTGGCCTACATTACAAAAATTACAAAGTGGAAGTGGGGTCACATGAATGCACAGCTCTTGGGTCCGGGGTCCAGCCTGAGGCACCTCCTTCATGGAAGTAATGCCTCCCCGGGAATGCCTTACGTGGGTTGTCATCTGGTGTTTCAGTTTTCTCTCACAGTCCAAAGACACGTGGTTCAGTTTAACTGGCATCTTTTAATTGTCCCTGTGAATGTGTGTGTTCCCTAGAGCAGACCAGTGTTCAGGGATGTTATCTGCCTTGTGCTCTGTCTTCAGGGTTAATGTTAATAATAAGAATAATAATATAAATAATTAATTACACTTAGATACTGTAGCACTTTTCTGGACACTCCTCTCAAAGTACTTTACAGGTAATGGGGACTCCCCTCCACCACCACCAATGTGCAGCACCCGCCTGGATGATGCAACGGCAGCCACAGCGCGCAAGTATGCTCAACACACAAGAGCTATCAGTGTGGAAGAGAACAGAGTGATGAAGCCAATTCAGAGAGATGGGGATTATTAGGATTATTATAAGGCCATGATTGGTAAAGACCAAACACCCCTACTCTTTTCAAGAAACACCCTGGGATTTTTAATTACTACAGAGAGACAGGAACTCTGTTTTACATCTCATCTGAAAGACTGCACCTTTTTACAGTATAGTGTCCCCATTACTATACTGGGGCATTAGGACCCACACAGGCCGCAGGGTGAGCACACTTTACTAGTACCACTAACACCTCTTCCAGCAGCAACCTTACCTTCCAGGAGGTCTCCCATCCAGGTACTGACCAGGCTCACACATGCCTAGCTTCAGTGGGTTGTTAGTTGTGGGTTGCAGAGTGATATGGCTGCTGGCAAGGTTAGGCTCCGGCTCACAATTCTCTTGTATAATCAGCGATTCTTGCGAACAGAAAGTGGAAATGAAGTTCCATGATATATTGCTGTTAAATTGAATTAATATGAAATATGCTTAGTCATCACTGTTCCAGGTCAATTACCTAAGTTTAGGGGGCGCAAATATTTATTTTTGCAATTGAACAGATACTGTATTTGAATATGGGTGAACAAAAGCTTAAGACTGTTTTAAGATTATCAATGCTGAGTATAAATAAAAATATTATTAATATAATAATAAAAAAATAATATGTATGCTAATTAAATTATGCCAATGCAGTATACACTACTATAATGCTATATACACATTGCACCACTAGAGGGAGATCTTATGTAATAAACTGGAAATGTAGAAAAGATGTGTTCTCTTAAGACTTTTAACGAGTGGCTTTTCTTCAGGCTTTTAATTAATGTATGGTATGTATCTTGATATTAAATCTAATGTACATTTTTAACAAATGCATATTAAGCTATATTATATATTATAGCTTTGCTAGGTTTAGCAATGCTAGTTTATTTCCAAACACATTTGAAAATGTTTTTATTACTCAAGAGCTGGATGATTGAAGCAGAGCATAATTTAACCAGTGGCTTGGTTTAGCTGTTTATCATGGAATGTATCACACTGTACCTTTTAGGGTTACATTTAAAAAGTATGGAGTTCTTAGTTTTATTATGGAACTTATATTTCATAAACCAAGTCTTAAGTGTGCTTTCCAATGAGATTTTTTTCTAAACAGGATGTCATAAAGCTGAATAAAACTTCCTGTTTGGAGCAGCAGCTACTTCATATGGAATCATTTTGTCTAGTTTACTTAGTCTTTCAAAGGCTTATGCCCAACTGAAGAGAAAAACAAAAGTAAATTACTTTTAAAAAGAGCATCGGTAACAATATAAATTATATTAATTCACAAACTGTAACAATGTTGTTGTTTTTTTTTTCAAATAAATGGTGGGGATGTGAGCCTTTTCTTTTTCATTCTGTAGCTTGATGAATTTGAGCTTAAATAGTTTAACTTTATGCTTAACCTAATTGTCCTCTAATTTTGGAATTCCTGCTTTTAAATTAATCTTTTCCTCTGCTACCTTCTGAAAGATCCCCAATCAATGTTCCTCCTTATGTCATCACCTTTCCTAAAACAAGTTTTCAGTTTGATGCCTAATTAGACTACATAGCCCAAGAGGTCTCTCCAGGAGTCTATTTTGTTGAGTTCTGTGACTTATCCTCCCTAGCCTGAAGGAAGAACTGAATTAGCCTGTCAGTCAACCCTGCTCTCTACACATAACTTTCTTAAAGCTGTTTTGTTGTCCTAATAGTCCAATTTAGGACGTGTTTAAAAATATCACACATATGCAGACTAGAGAATCATTTTCCAGGCCAACAGCCTTTTTAGCAGATTCAAATTTGGAACACAAATCAATGTAAGAGACAGCCAAATTTCTCACATTCTACAGCTTTTCAGCCACAGTGATGTGAAATACCTGCTCTGCATTACCTTCCTTGTATGTACTGTAACTGAGGTATTATTCACACTGTTTTAAATTGCTCACTGGTGATGTCCTATAAATAAAATGGGGCACATGAGTAAAATCACAACTTAATTATATGTAACATGTATATAGAATATGTGGGATGATATTGCATAAGTGCTTTCTATGCAAACCAGTCTGTAACAATAAAATAATAACCTTTGTAAGGATCCTGTGTCTCGCTGAGAAAACAAACATTCCTAGAATCCCACAAAAATAGGCATTGTCACAATTAACATATATGGAGTGAAAGTAACGTCACTGAAATTTAACTGCCCTAAATATTGGGGTTAAAAGATTCAATTTTTTCTTCTGGATTACATGACCACCACTACTTTCAAGCTTTCTTTAGCGAGTTTATAACTGCCATTAAAGACTGGTTCAAAGACACAGTGAGGTGTTATAAGGACATTGGACTTTGGTGTGAAATTCAACAGAGGAATTCTTTACTTGTTATCTCATGATTTAACATGAGTACAAAATGTGTTGCCTAGTTTCTAGTCTTAAAAATGCAATTCAACTTCTCATGGTAAAATACAGGCTACCTTGAACTTGACCACTGTGTATACAAAATACATATAGGCCAATCTTTTGTGAGGCTAATAATTCCATAAAACTAGGTGTTAACTTCAGAATAAAAGAGATTCTCTTGTCTCTGTTCTCTGTTCTCTGTGGGGATCTCTCATTGTGTTTTACATTTGCAAATCACTTTACCATATACTGTTTTGGTTTTCTTTTTCAATAATAAAAACCAAACTGGAAGTTGTGCCTGTTTATGCTACACCAGTATTCATATATTCCAGTAAACCATATAAAACATGGAGACAGAATATTCTTATTGCTTGCATTAATGGGTTTAATTCATTTAATTCAACTAAGTTTAAAATGCTATGCTATGCTAGCTATGAGGATTGTGTCAGCAATGACTGTGTTATAGCAGAATCATATGAGAGACATGAAGAGGGAAGGAAAGAGAGTGTCCAAGCAGACAAAATGTGTCCCAAACTCATGGCTGTATGAGCCAAAGTGTCCATGGAGACAGTTGTATTTTTCCAGAAGTGACCACATGTTAAGAAAACACCA